TTGAAGGCTTTTTGAAGGTTGTTTCTGCAGGCTGGAGGTTCAAAGCTTGTTTCCTTTGGGTGAGTTGTTTGGAGGTCGGAGGCTCGAGGTGGACAGTTGGTCCCGTGGAAAGGTGAATTCATCAATTGGCTGCCCTTGCAGCTGAGGTTGAATGCGCTGCTTAGCTCTTGGGAAAGCCGCCCGCTCCCCCCACAAGCCTCGCGATCCCTCCAGAGCGTCGCGTGAAATCAGCTGCACAACCCTTCAAGCATCATCAAGCAAAGGCAAGTCATTTGATATTGGCCGGAAAGTTAAAACTTTCAGAGTCATCTAAGCAGGATAGATGGGGAACCGCGGATGTAGGGAAGCCCCGGAAGTCACGAGCAACCTTCAGAAACCTGCACGAACCTTCACACCTCCAAGCCGCTCGCCTTCAGTCCGAGCTCACGATCCCAGGCTAGCGCCTGGTTCTTCTGGAACTACAAGATGGCCCGTGACGGGTGGCCTCATTGGAGCCACTCGGATGGTCCAGGGTTTGGGGCGAAGCCTTGGCCGTGGTGGGCCGGCCACCAGTTGCAAGTGAGCAAATGTAGCTTGGGTCGAATAGTGGTTTGAGTAAGTATTGCTTGGGTATTGCTGGGGTAGGTGGTAAGTTTCCAGGACGCCAAGACAAAATGAAGGCTGATGTAGCAGAGCGAGTGACAAACCGTATGGTCATGCAAACACGAGCCTAGTTAATTGATTGGTTCATTTTGCAAGTAGGGAATGTCAGCTACAGGAAAAGTGGCGCGACTGAAGCAGGCGATCTTCTCGTTGGGAAGGTGCGCGCATGAAAATGAAAACGCTCTCAGGTACGGGGGCACTGGGCGTCTCTCAAAAACAAACTTAGGCATGCTGAGTGAGAAATACGCGGGCAGTAGACGTATTCACTTGCCAGATGTGGCCAATGCTGGCCATGTGCATTGGGGGACAGGAGGGCTACCACCCATTCGACAAACATGGAAGACACCAAGTCCCCCCATCAAAAACGAGCGCACATGTTCATGGATTTACCCAAATCCATGGATTCCATCTTACCCAAGCAAGGGGTTGATGAATTCCACCTTTGCCCACGGGGTCTTTGGAATTTCCATGTCACCTTGGCTGACGTGAAGCGCTTGCATGTGCCCGTTTCCCCATTGGCATGTTTGCGCCTGATGATTGTTTTACTGCATCAGCCCAAGCTGATTGCCGAGGTTGACCCGGGATTGATAAACCTAGGGTAAAGCTTTCATGAATTGCCTCCGAAATGGGACCACCCCTCTATTCATCCATCAGGGTTTGCACTGGGTGTCCAAACCGAGAAGTTATGCCATACAAGTCATGCGACCACTCCTAAGCCCTGGCTGAGCCATCGGTGCCCTGCTTCAACTCGTGTCGGGTGCCGCTCCTTGCCTCAGAGCAGGCAACCAGTAACGACAGTTTTTAGTGTCACAGTTTACCGGTAACCCAGACCCAAGCGAGCCATCGAATATATGTTTATGGCGTATATGTCATATATGCATACATATGCATAGGCATAGGTGTGTATACAATTACACGTGCATTTGCATCACGAGCCAACAATCATGACCAGCCCTAACGTGTGCCACAATGCCCTGTAGGATGCCTCTCTCCCGTGTTGTGTCCGTGCGCAAGGCTACCGCGAGTGCGTAGAGAGGGCCTGGATTGAGCCCCATCGCTTTGCGGAGCTGGGCCAAAGCTGAGTAAGCCGCAAGGTCGCGCCAGCAGAGCGAGCACACTCCCCCTTGGCATCGTTCGGCTTATTTTTGTTGTCACGCGATTGTTGTAGCCCCCGAAGTGCCTCACTCGTAGCTCGGCCGGCAGTTTTGCCGTCGCCCGAGGTGAGGCCTAGAGCCCATGCTAAGGGGTTCCGTAAGTGGTGCGCTCCTTTGCCGGAATCGAGCCGCGGGTTGCAAGGTGCACCCAGGTTCCGTGGCCCAGACACCCGGATGGGGGCCGATTCGATTCGATGGCCAACCCACCTGGCCCCTTTGAAGTTTCCTAGAGGTGGCCTCCGCCACTGCACTGCAACTGGCAAGACCAAGTCCTGCAAGTTGCTGCCTTCGGGTTGCGCCTATCAAGCCTTTCTTTTTGCAACTGGAAGTTCAACGGAAACAGCTCTGGAGGAATCTGCTTTTTGTGGCCCCGTTTCCTTGTGGGTTCCATGCTAGTTTGCAGGGAGTAGCTCACCTTTTTGCAATTGTTCGGCCGTTCAGGGGTGCTTCGTGAGTCCTTTCAACCAGCAGCAACTTAGTTTTTTTGCTTTGGGTCTCACTTTGGTCAAGCACCCAACAGCCAATTTTTCTCGAAATAGGGGAAGCCCCTAGGAATTGTGTGTTTCCTTTTGGCGCCTTTTTTAAAGACCACGCAACATGGGGTTCAATTTTCTGGTTGAGCATCAAGCCATCGGTTTTCCAGGCCTGCGCCAATGTTTATTTGAGGGCACACAAGAAGCCCCTTGTTTTGGCATGGCCGCTCGCGGGACAAATGTGCGAAGTGCTCCCATACTTGTTCTTCATAACCATAGCAACGCTTAGTCATGGCTCCAAATGGTGGGTACGTGTCAATCTCGGGAAATGGACCCCCCCCAAACCAGGTGCTTTCCTTTTGGTTTCCCTTTGGCACTGGGGCATCAACTGAAAACTCAGGCGACCTGGGGGAGGCACTCAGGACCCTCCAACACCCATCAACTAATGTTGCTTGACAGTCTACCTGAGTCTGCCTCAAGCGGTATGTTTCTTGGGGCCTGGGCAAGCTGTGGTTGGCCGTTTCATTGATTGCTTGTTCCAGCGCCTTTTTACTTGCAGTGGTGTATGCTTGAGCCAATGGACAAAATGTGTGGGGTATCGGTTTTGGGCGGACTCCTTTTGGCTTTGCAGGGTGGGTATCAGCTTCGGGTGGTCCCATATGGGCTTTTGGTTGTCACATGGGTTTGGGAATATGGGCCATGACTTTCAGTCAAGATGCTTTTCAGATCTGTTGCCTGTCGTGTCGCGCCACGCCTCGCCGATGAGCCGGGGTGTGGGACATCCGATCCGAGGGCGAAGCCGTGCATGTCGACGGTGCCCAAAACCTGACGAGCCGTCAACGAGCTGGGCCCATGAACCAAGTGAGCTTGGGCTGCCGTTTTCCCACCAACAACCATGGGCTGTTCGAAAATGATACTGGCCTAAACCTGGGAGTTCAACACCACCTCATAAGAGATGGCGCAGTATCGGAGTTTCCTCTTTTCGGGTGCTTGCTTTGCTGTTGTAGAAGGCATATTCCAAAAGGCGGTAATTGCCACATCTTGCCACCTGTTCAATCGATCGGATTTTGGGCACTTGAATTTTCTGTCCAGGCTGTCAGGAGCTGCATCGTGTCTGGGTGCATCTCCTTTGACGCGTTTGAACGCCACAGCAGCTGGCATGAATTCCTGGCCCTCAGATTTCGGGGGGCAGGCTCGCTCGTGCATGGCCAAGTCTTTTGTCCACCTGGCCACCAGCCGAAGGCTGGTCTTTTGCACATCAGGTGCTGGCCTTTTGCCAAAGACGCCCCGGTGAACGAGCAAAGCGCAGTTGGAACGTTTATGTCACATGTGAATTTGTCCGGTTATGTCCGGTTGATGTTCTTATCCGCGGGCAGTCCCGGCTCAATCTGCTACCACGAACAGTTCGCGCATTCCCGGCGCTCATCGAGTCGTCGAGCCCGTGCTCGGCATGGTTTTCGAAGCTTCAATGCCCCTTCACATGTTTCTGACAATCCAGCACGCACATGTCGCTTCCGACATGGTGTTTAATTCATGTTGTTGTTTTTTTTTTGACCTGCCTGAGAACCGGGCTATTTCGACCTATCAGTGCACCTCCTTTTTCTTAAAGTCAGGGTCGCCTCTTTTTCCAAAAGCAACACATCCCTGTTTAGAGCCAGTCCTCTGGGGTGGTCCTAGGTTTGCGGGGAAGAATTTAAGCCAATCTTTGGGATCTTCTCCCAGTGGCACGGGGCTGGAGATCCCTTCAAGAGGTGTTTGTGCATTCAGGTACCCAGATGGGGTTCTGTGAAACCGGGGTCCTTTTTCACGGGTCCCTATCTTGCAGCAAAGGGCAATCACGTGCTGTTCGCATCCGAAAGGATCCAGCTTGTGAGAACACATATGGGTTCTCAAGTTGATTATCCTTTCTGTGAATGAAGCAACCACGAAGCACCGACGGGAATCGCAGAGCTGACCAGTCCTTTAGCTTAGGAATCGAGGCGTAGGGCACGCCTTAAGAAAGCGCACGAATCGTGCCCTCAAAATCGCGCACGGAAAGGAGGATCGGAATTGGCGCGCAGGCTGTGAGTTTCAATCAGGAAGATCCTCCCACATGATTGGCGGACATAACTCGCAATGATGTCCGCCAGTGGTTCCCCACCTGAAATTCACACCCAGATGCGTTTTATGTTCGCCCTGTTTATTTTTCATTTGGGGGTATTTCAAGGGGTTTCTACCAGGGAGCAGAAGGGTGTTTCCTGGAAGCCAAGGAAAGCCCAAGGAAAACCAACCAGCAGAGACACCCATGATGCAGCGCCATGTCTCCGTGTGGCGTCCTATTCCACCAGTGGTTTGGCTTGCTGGGTGCTTACCCGCCCTCAAGGGAAGCTGTTTGTCTACATGGTACGCTTTCTGAGCACAACCATTGAGAATGTATAGTTTTTACACGCGTGGACACATGCTTCTCTGCGACCTCCCTTTCAGCAATCCCAACACACCTGAAGAAAGGCCTGCACGTTTGCATTGAAAATTTATACCACAACGTGGTTGGTTTCCAATGTGGTCCCAAATCATCAGAGCCCTGACACCCACACACACCAGCCATAAGGGGAGCCAAACCTTAATAAACTTCATGGTTCCAATTTCTTACTATTTGTCATTTATACACACATCACTCGTATGCTCTAGTCAACCTGCCCCAGTCACCATAAGTCACCACCAGTCACGGCTGGTTGGAAGCTTTGGGGTCCAGGCAGTGTCAGAGAGGCAGCAAGAGCCTGGGGCCCCGGGGGTCAGGCGCCGCGTTTCCTTAGAGCTTGGTGAAGTTAGACAGCATTCCCCGTGTTGCTTGGTGGCTCCCAGCCCGGTTCCTTAGCAGTTCAGCTTTTTTGGGTTTAGTGCAACTAGCGACTAAGCTATCATGATTGAAATGACCAGCACTGGGCTGCTCAAAATGGAGGCCAAACCTAATCCATGAGTGGACAACCAAATGGTTTTTGAGGGAACTCTTGTCAAGTCATGTTCCGTGAGCCTAGGCATTCCCTGGGTCTGGCGAAACCAACCTGGGCTGTCCCCTAAAAGTGTAACTTGGTAATGTAAGAAAGATATGCATGTGCATGTACTTGATCCTCCCCTTCCCCATGTGCTTTTGTGGTAGCGAGCTGGGGAATCGGGCGGCAAACATCAGATTACTCTCATTTTTTGGGGGGGCTGTGATCCCTGAAGTACCCATTGCCTAAGATGCCCTCCTTCAGGTACCCTAAAAGCCATGATCTGGCAATGTTGTGATCAAGCGATAGGCAACCTTTGCCAAGGTCCGCCTTTTCACTGACAGATTGGTATTGTTGCGGGACTTGCAAGGCTGCCTGGATTTGTTTGGTGCGGCCCGCGGCTTTTGTGGGAGTTCTTCGACATCAGCTTGACCCGCCAGATCACGCTGTCCACTTTCCCCACGTGTCACGAGCTTCGATATTCGTCCGGGACAGCCGTGAAGAGGTTTCGACTGGGCCTGAAGGACGCCAATCAGTGTGTGCCTGACCACTGGCCCTGCCTTTGGGAGTGTCCAGATTCTCAGGCATCAGTTTGAGGGGATGGGCCCCGCAATGCTCTCGTTGCAGCCGAGTGATGAACAGATTGACGTGGCAGGTTTCTTAGCTACCAACGAACTGGGTGCATGTTTTTTTCACCTAGTCATCAGTCTTGGCCTTCGAAGTGAAGGTGGATACCCTCCCACCAATGAACATGGAACCTGACAATATTCCTTGATAAACAAAAGAAGTCTTCCAGGGCCCCTGTGTCAGGTTCCATGTCAATTGGTGGGAGGGTACATAGGCAAAAATTGGCAACAGTTACCCAGCCATGTGTTCAACCCCATGATTTCATTAGCTGAGAAACACCGGCCCGGGTGATTTTCGGGGCCCCATCAAACCCATCAAACCGGAGGTCTTGAGGGCCAAATCAGTACGCAGAAAAAGCTTTGAACCGGGCTTAGTCAAAGGCGGGTGTTCCCAACACAGTTGCAGAACCGCCACACAAAAATTGCCAATCCCCATATCAATCAACCAGGGTTTCTGAATTCTGGCTCCCATGGTCAGAGGTCGCCCCGCAAAGTCGCTGCGGTCTGAGGTTGGCAGATGTCACTGCGACCCTTTGCGCCCTTGACATCTCAGAGATTGCCGTGGGCCCAGCGCGTGAGTCCACCTTTTGACCTTGCCGGGGCTTCTGCTTTTACTCAGTCTTTGGGTTGGTGTTTTGCCTCTTGGGTCCAAACAGTGAACCTTTAATTTCCAGGTTCTTGAGCGAGTGGGAGGATGTTCAAAGTGATATAAAGTGATGTCAGTGGACCTCTCAGGCAATTTCAGACCGGATGCGCACGCCGATATTTTGAAATTCCTCTTCGTCCGAAGCAACACCGCACTCAGGCGCAGGTGTGGTGGACCGAGGTGAGCTCTTTCAAGAAGGACCCGGCCTGACGCTTTCTCACTGCTTTTTTGGATGCATCCGGATCCCTAAAGAGAGCAATCTATCTAGAAGTCGCAGACACTTTCGGGCGGGGAGGGATGAGATCGAGCGGACCTGTTTCGCACGATCGGCTTCAAGACCTGGGGCTTGCCATGGTGCAACTTGCGCCATGGGAAGCTTCGACGCCGGTGCTTCCGGATGCCGCGATGAGCGACATAACAATCGGATGCTCAACCTCAATCCGGGAGCCATTTCAGAATTTTGGAAAGCAAGAGCTACGAAAAATCTCATTGCAGATGCTCAGAACCAAATCCGAGATCTTGTTTGGTTTCTGTTTGGTTGCTCATTGTGTGGCTTGTGGAGGCTTTCCCGAACTGAAAGTCGAGGGCCAGTGGTGCCCGCAAATGCCTGAACCTGTGTTGGGTTGGCACTCATTTTCTGGTGTATCTTCAGAGAAATGGACGTGTAACGAGGGTTTTGGACCACTCGTCCACTTCCAAACCTTGGACAAATGGTGGGCACCGCGCTGGCAACGTGTGACGTATCTCACCTCGATATTGAGAAGGACGCCTCGGAACTTGACGATGATAACCCCGGATAAATAAACCGGACGAATCAAGTGGATGGTCTTTCCTCAAAGTGAAGGACCTCTTATGAAGCCGGCCTTGTCAGCCGGAGCTTGTGAATCCTGGGTTCCCATGACTTTGGTCCAAACAAATGCCGAGGGAAGCAGCTATCGGTGCCCACGACCTTCAGGCAGCAAAAGGCACTCAAAGCGCAGGGAGCGATTTCTTGCGCCAATTGCATGGGCCAAAAGGCGATCTCTGCAAAGGCCATTGGGAGGGTCTAAACTTCTAATGTGAGTGGTGAGGAGAAAGAGGGTTCATGATGACGTATGATGGCCAAGGTCATGATTTTGCAATCCCCTTGCGAAGCTGCTGCCGTTGCCTCCCGCGATGCTTAATTGGGAAGCATCTCCTCCCGGATGTGCGGCCCCACACGTTTTACCCATGTGGTTGCGGCATATCTGCAAACTGCAGCCTTGCGTAGGTCTTGCACAAAGCGCCCGAATGATAAAGTGCCTTTCAAAGGAAAGCGTCGGGGCAGGAGGCGAGATTTCAGAAGGGAAGTGCCACGGAGGGAAGCGGCTCACCCCCATCAGAGTGTCAAAGCAGCAATTTGGCCTTATGTCCTTTTATGAAGGTAGACGAAGCCAAAGCCTTGAGGAGGGTGTCTTTGGGCCTGGTAGGGTCCTTGGAAATAGGTTGATTTCTCCTTTCTAACATTGGCCTATCTATTCTGCCTATTTTGCCGAGTCCGCTTCTGAAGCCAAGACCTCGTAAGCCGCGTGCAGGAACACCTCAGGGCGGAGGACAAGCGAGTCAAGAGGCCAGACTGAGATCGTGCTTGCAATCATTTTGCCAGTGTTAGGTTGACGAAATGTGGCTGTGACCGGTTTTTCTTAATATCAGGGTAGCTCAAGATGATCCAACATGGATAGCCCCCTTTGGTTTCCCTTTTAAACCAACCTAAAAAGGGTATATACCTTCAAAAAGGCGCACCCAAACTGTGAGGTGTACTTACTTGGTTCAGGTCCAAGATGCATCGTTCTCGGCGTTGGGCATTGACATGGAAAAGCAAGTGCCACTTCTTCATGGGTGGTCACGTAGGGGCCTAGTTTTCTGATTGCTCATTGGTAGTTTGGGTCGCTGCAGTCGACGTTGCATTGAAATTGAGATTGCAACAGCTCTGTCAGCCAACTGCACGACATGCGGGTCCCCACAAGCTGGTTCAGGCCCTTTTAGCTACCATCCAGTTCGGTTTGCTTGTGTGTGTTTTCTGTCTTTGTCCGTGTGCAGCAGATGGGGGTCTCTACGCCAAATGGCTCCCATCCCATACACTTTGCCTACTGGGCAAACGAGACATGAATGTGACGAGCGGGTTTTTGCGGTGGATTGGATGGGGATTGTGTTTCTTTTCATGTCACACGTAGACTGAACGCCGCCAGTCTGGTGAAGCGCATCCTCGTGGAGGACGAGGAGCCCATTGTCGGCTCAGGCCTTAGGTTCCGGCCTCCGCAAGCGAACGAGCTCGGAAGGCGGCCGGCCGGGGTCACAGGTGTTGTTGTTGGCCGGGGTGTGTGTGTGTGTGTGTGGGCGGAATGCCGAATTAGATGCAAATCTATGTGTATATATATATATATATATTAGACGTATGTAGTTGCGCGCATACAGACACATACACATATATACATATATGGATACAACTGGATATACATAACCACACGCCATAGCGTACAAGACCATTCCATTCCATTCCATGCCAACCATACCACAATACATAATACTTTACTGCCGTAGCATGGATACACATCTGCCTGTTTTATAGCAAGCTCACCTGGGGGGAAAGGAGCTCACCATGATATTGGCCCGTTACTTGGGTATCCGATACACGCATACATACATACATACATACATACATACATACATACATACATACATACATACATACATACATACATACATACATACATACATACATACATACATACATACATACATACATACATACATACATACATACATACATACATACATACATACATACATACATACATACATACATACACACATAGAAGCAGATACAAGCACATACAAGCACAAACAAGCACATACATACATACATACATACATACATACATACATACATACATACATACATACATACATACATACATACATACATACATAGACACATAGAAGCAGATACAAGCACATACAAGCACAAACAAGCACATACAAGCACACACAAGCATACATACATACATACATACATACATACATACATACATACATACATACATACATACATGCATGCATAAAGGGCACAGGCTCAAAGTGGGAACGGGTCTCCAAAGCCAAAGGCTCCAAGTCCCGTACCCCTTGAACTTGTTAACCGGAGGGTGGCCGATGATGTGTATCAGTGCCGTGCTGGTCTACATCCCATCCGTCCATACATGCATCCCTCCAACCATCCGTTCATCCATCCACCCATCATACACACACATACACACATACATGTTGATATATATATATATATACATAACCATATACATTGCATACACATGTGCACATGTACAAGTTAAACATAGAGAAGAAACGGGAGGGCCCTTTCCCCCTCGTGCTCTCAAATGCCCTTTTCCTTTCGGGTGGTTTTTGCATCTCCTTCTGGGACAGACTTGTGTGTATCGATGATGCAAGAGTCCCAGACCGTGAAGGGATCCTGGTACGGCTTAGCGTGGAATTCCCGAAGCGAGTAGCTTTCGGGGTGCCAAGTGGACCTCACGACGCTTTGGGCAGTTGTAGAGAAGTGTTCAAGCCTTTTTTTGTTTTCCAGGGCGAAAAGGTGGTAGGCTCGGGTGGGGAGGGGTTTAAGGAAGGTGGGCGCTTGGGCCTGAGTTTGTGGAGGGTAAGTTCCTTAGGCAACCGCACCGTCGACGCGGGTTGCCATTTCCGGCTCCACAAGTGTCCAAGCTCCTGAGGTACAAGGCAAAGTTTGGTCACGCAAGGAACGCAAGCTGCCAGGTTGACACGTTGCCAAGTTTTGTGCTTGCGTTTGCGACCCATGGTGACTTCGGATTAAAAACCACATAAGCCTCCGGACCCCGCTGGTCAGAGGTGTCCCCCTAAAATAGATGATTCGCCTATTAAAGGGGGTTAACCGCCTTTGATTAGCACGGTCCTCCGGAGTAGTAGTCCGAACCTAACGTTACCCAAGCAATCGTATTTGGCCACCTTGTTGCGCAGGGTTTCCGCAATGAAAACGAGAAAGGTCAGCATTGCAAGCATGCTAGGCCTGATCGGGCACTCCATCCTCTTCAAGCGGATGATCCAGCTCTTTTGGCCCAAAGAAGCGCGTCGCCAGGAGAAATCCCAGGGCTCGACAGTGGGCTGGGGAGGGGTGGGGAGCTGAGCTTGCGTGCTTCCCTTTTTGGTGGTTTATAACACCACCCTGTAGCGCCTTCAAAAATCAGGCTGGACCAATTTTCCCCTCCTCAAGGATGATGTTTCCCCTCCTCCGGAGGAGTCCCTTTTTGGGCTTGTTTTGCCGGGAAACCAAAAGGAAGCCACTCATGGTGAGGTCTATTCACCGTTCCAGCAAATGTCCACATCTTGTCGGAGACAGGGTCGTGCACCAACCTCAACATCCCCAAGGACCGGAGGAGAATACTCCCGAATCGGGAGCATGCTTGGCCAATCGCCGATCCTGTCGGGGTCCCTTGGTTCAGGTTGGATCTGAGTTTCCTTGTGTAAATCCGTCGGCACCAGCTGGGATTGGTGGTAAGCCAGTTTTTGATCAACCCATCCCACCTGCAGGATTTGCACATGTGGATGTGTCTTTTTTGAGGGCACCTTTTGTTTGTGGTTGTAAAAGGGAAGTAAAAGCAACCACCATTCTGTCAGCCCCTAAAAAAGGACGCCCATTTACATTTGCTTTAAGGGACGCATGGGAAGCCTGGAGCAGCGAAACTTTGGTTGCCCTTCGACAGGAGGAGATCAGAGCTGCCCTACGGAACGGGGCAGGCGACACAATCGACCCCTTTGATGACAAGGCCGGGCCCTGTGAGGCCTGAGGTGTTGCAATTCTGCAGGGGTTTTGGCTTGTGGGGTCTCCCCAATTTGGGGTTCTTTGGGGTTTTCTCTTTTGAACCCCGAAGAGGGCTCTCAAGGAATATATGTCAACACGGTCGATGGCTTGATGGTTGGCTTGCCCTTCTAGCCATGGCAAAGTCTTTGTTGAGTATGTCGTGTGCCCAAGTGGAATGCGCACACGAATGAATCCATGGAGAAAGGAATGAACTAATGGATGAGTCAAATCTGGATGTACATGGTGTGGTTTTGAGGGACCCCCCTAAAGCAAGTGGTGTTCCCTTTGCTTTTGCCTTAAAGCAGAAAGACACACCCACATTGGTGTACACAGCCGCATGCGCAGCTTGTTTCATGCGGGCTGTTGTGCTTCAGGTGATGAACTGCGGGACGCTGGTCCTAACCTTCAGATATTCTTCTGGAGGCGCGGGGGAGCTGGGGGCATGTCATTTCTATTTGTTTGGGGGGGGGGAGGGGAGGGGGGTTACCCTTTTATTGTTGGGGCTGGTTCAAAGGGAAACCAACAATGGAAACTTGGGCGATCTAAAGATCACTTTCGGGTCGTTTGCCAGGTGCCAGAAAAACCAGGGGGAACCGAGCAAATTTTGAGGCTCCCCATTTGGACTACCCGACTGTTGTACCACCGGAAACCGAGAGGCTGGCAACATCGTCCATTCGGGGGAACCAACATGTCCCATGGCTCAAGCAAAGGGCTTCACATTCAACGGTGCCCTTGGCTCAAGCAAACGGCTTCATTTGGGCTGTCGTTTCAGCCTGGGAAGGAATCTGTTTTTCGGGAACCTGTGAAATCTGCTTGGGTGAAGGCTACTGTTGAACTCAGCATTGAGAGAGAGGGAGAGAGAGAGCGAGAGAGGCTTTTAACCTTCAGGTGGGTACGCCCCCAGAACCCCACGTAGACCCGGCTTGGGATACATCCTTTCATTCGGATGTAAGCTGTATCCCGCAAGAGGCGCTGAGATTATCAAGGCGGCCTTCCTCTTCGATGGCCATATGGAGTCAGCTCTGGGTCCTGCGGGCCAGACTCAGGAGGGGCTGGGGGTTGTCTTCATGCTTCTCAACCGACCTCTTCACATCTTCACCTCGTGCTCGTTCCTCCTCTTCATCTTTTAACATCTTCACTTCGTCTTGATCTCTCGGCTTCTTCATGACCTCTTGGGGCCTTTGTGCTTGTGGCTTGTTGGCCTCTTGATCGTTCTCTTCAGTGTTCTTGGCATGTGTTTTCTGCTTGGTTTGTGGGGTTGTGTTGTTGGTTCTGCTTTTGTAGTGTGTGTAACGGGCTGCAAGCAAAAAAGCTTTTTGGTAAGATGCGAAGCCTCTGAAACATACCCAAGGCAGACATATGTCCCCAACATAAGCTAATTCATGCTAATTCATGCTAATTCATGCTAATTCATGCTAATTCATGCTTCATGTACTTCTTCTTTGGGGCTTGCCCGTATGGGGCATGTGTTTTTTGTTTGCTTTTCTTCGGGTTCTTGTGTGACACTTTTGAACAGTGCGCTCCTGCTGAGATTCTTGGGGGGGTTCGCAAGTCATCTTATGAGGCTGTCATCGAGCACAAGGAGACACATATACAGTTAAGATGCCCCGCCGCATTCGAATTGCTTCAGTCCTTATAGCACCCCTCCACCTTGATTGTTGCGACTGTCACTTGGATGGGGCCGCCGCTGAAGGCCAAACTAGGGTAGTGGGGGACTCCCTTACTATTTCGGGAAACATCCCCTTATAACGTGCTAAGTGTTTTTACTCGTGTTGAGAAGCTCGTCGAACATGGGTGCCTTGGGGGGATAGATTGTGCCCCTTCAAAGTCCCAGCGCACAAACCTCAACTGCGCGTGTTTTCAGAGAATGTCAACGCCGGATTAATAAAGTAATGGTATTAAACCCGCCCCACAAGGCCCCCCAATACCAAACAATTTGCAAAACTGAAATTCACCTAAACAAGCACTTTTCCATAGCAAAACCACATGTTGTTAAGCCGGACTTCACACGAAAACCAACAAATCCGGAAGCCCCACCCCAAATGAAAAGCTCAAATCCCAAAGAATCCGCGGTGATATGCGGTGATAGCTGCTCTCATTTTTGCCACGCTGCTGCACCTACACCTTGGTGCCACGAAAGGCTGCCAGTGCCAGCTTTGCAGTAGTACCAGCACAGCCACGAAGCATTGCCAAGCCAACACAAACATCAGCCAGAGCTTCCTGAAATCCAAGATGTTTGGCTTTCTGAAAGTGTGGTTTCTTAGTTAAATTCCTTTCCAACAGTGATGGTTTGAGAAGGTCAGGTCACATGAGGTAGTACCCCACATGAGTGCCCATCCCATGTCCACAACATTGGCCCCCGTGCTATTAATTTGGCCCCTCTCAGGCCTGCAACAAAACTCCGCATCCAGCTTTGTGCTTACTAGCATTTGTACTAGCACAGCCATGGAGCATTGCCAAGCCAGCACAAACATCATCAGCCAGAACTCCCTGAAATCCCAAAAAGTGTGGCTTCCTGAAAGTGCAATTTCTTTGTCAAACCCCTTTCAAAAAGTTATGGTTTGAGAGAGTCACATGAGGTACCCCACACGAGTACTAAATCAACTGGATTCGCAGATCAATTTCAATAAGATGCTCCAGCAATACTAATTCAAATGGAAACTCAAATCCAACAATACCAACTGAACTGGACACCCGAATCAAGATCAAAAGGAAGCTCCAACAATACTAAATCAAATGGAAACTGAAGTCCAACAATACAAAATCAACTGGATACTCAAGTCAAATTCTACACTCCATCAACACTAAATCAAATTGAAAGTGAAACCCCACAATACTTCATGAACTGGACACCCAAATCAAATCAAACGGAAGCTCCAGCAGTAACAAATCAATTGGAACGTGAAATCCCACAATACTAAATCAACTGGACACTAAAATCAAATTCAAAAGGAAGCTCAGGCAACACCAATTCAAATGGCAACTCATTTCCAACAATACTAAATCAAGCCCGTGGAAGCTCAAATCAAATTCAAAAGGAAGCTCCAGTAATATCAAATGGGAGTTCTGGGACCCTCATTCCCAATTCAAAAGTAGCATTGTCCAATTCAATAGTAAATTTGCCCAATACTAAAGTAGACCTTCCAGATTGATACAGCGCCGGTTGTCTTTGGGAGCCCAACTTTCGGGGCGGGGGGTTATGAATCCGGTGAGAACATTAACCTCTTCAAGTTGGTGTTTTGCAAGACACCTTTGTAGGCCCCCTCTGTTAAACCATTCAGGAATCGGTCATGTCCGGTCTTCCAGTTTGTGGTGCCTGTTGGTGCTCCCTTCACCGTCATGCGATCAGGATTCCGCGATTTGGGTCCTCATGCAAGGACCCGGATGATGTGGATGTACAAGACGTTCCTGAGCCTCCGCGGTCCTCATCACCAGGTTTTCTGTAGAAATTCGAATCCAGGAGCGAGAAAAAAAAAAAAAAAAAAAAAAAAAAATGCTGAAATTTAACACAGGACATCACAATCGAAATTTAATACATATTTTCAAATATACCTATATATATATATATTATTCGAGTTGTTATTATAAATAACTATATATATATATATTATAATTTAAAGCCAATAATTGATTTATAAGCTCCTGCTTCTTTGCGCGGTCCGTGTATGAGTTGCGTATGTCTTCGAAAATTGGGTTAAATTCTCTTGAATTTTTGGTCGCTTTCGGCGATTCGTTTCTTAGATCTTTAGACGTACCGTAAATTGATTGGCCAAATTTTATGGTAATTTGGTGCATTTATTCGAATCGAATTTCTTAGAAGTATGTGTGTCGGATATATGGGGTTTGTATTTAGATAATTTGTGTTTGTTTGTGTTTGTGTATTTTTGTGTGTGGTTTGTTTATATTCGTCTTGGGTTTATTTTTATATATAAAATGTTGTTTATTGTTGATTGTGTTTGTACTTGCCGCGCGTTGTGTGTTTTTGTTTTTGTTTGTGTTTGGTTATCTCTATTTTGTTTGTGTGTGTTGTTGTGTTTGTGTGTGTGTTTATTGGATTGTGTTTGTTTTGTTTTGTGTATGGTTTAATTAAATATGGTTTGCTTTATGAATATATATATATATATTGTTTCTCTCCCCTAAAGATCGATTATTTTTTGTATTTTGAGAAAGATACGAGATATTATTATAAGAAATAGATATATATTTATATGGTGGGGCTGATATTTAAATACAATGTTATTGAAGACGATTGCAAAATTGCGCACTTGCTAGGATTGTAATATTGTAAGGCTTTGCAAAATTGTAATTCTTGGCAATTTGAAATTTTAAAATTTTAAGAATTTCTAAATTAAATTGCTAAATTATAGACTTGGCAAATAGACTTGGTAGGGCTTTAGCTCTAATACTGCAAGGCTTTGCAAAATTGTAACTAAGCAAAGGTGCTAAATTATGGACTTGCTAAGGTTACAAAATTGCTAATTAAGTAAGTCTATTAAATTGTAGGACCCTGGTAAGGTTGTAAAATTGCTAACCTGCAAGGGTTCTAACATTGCAGGGTTGCAAAATTATAGTCCTTACCTTGCTAACCTATTAAAATTTTAACACTGCAGGCTTCTTATTTGCTACAAGGTCTGCTAAACTACAAATAAGGCTGCAAAAATCGCAAGGCTCCAAAGACTGCAGGCACACCCAACTGCAAGGCTTTTCAAGCCTGCCAAACAGTCTACTAAATTGTAGAGCAAGGTTGCAAACTACAACCTCTTACTAACTCAACACTACAAGATTTTTTAAATGGAGGTTACAAAATTGCTAATCCAATCTGCAACCAACTGCAATAACACTGAACTATAGACAAGCGAGTTCAAACAGAAATTCCAATATAGGCCTGTTAAAAAAATTTGGGAGCTCTGTCTGCCAAAACTCCCACACTGCAAGGAAGGCTTGAAACTTGATTGCTGGCCTAGCGCAACATTCCACAATTTCCAGCAAGGCTGCCAATCTGCAGGGCAAGGCTGCAAAAAATTGCAATCTGCCAATCTGCCAAGTTTTAATACCCTGGCAAGGGTTCTTGCCACCTGCTACAAAATTTCCATCACTAAACTGGCATTTCGAGCACGCTGCCTAAGTAAGTTGCTAAATTGGGTTCCAGCTCACAACTGCAACCCACTTGGCAAGAGTTGAACACTAAGGCCATTGCAAGACTTGAGCGCCTCATCTGCCAAAGTTTCAATACTGCAGGCTTCCCTGCTGCCCTGGCAAGGCTGCCAAACGACAGACAAACAAGGCATTTCCAACAAGAATTCCAATATTGTAGGTTTTGGTTGCAATACAGATTTGGCAGGGCTGCAAAATTGCAGCTCTATACGCTAAAGCTCCAACATTGCAAGGAAGATGCATAGGGGCGAAGGGCAAGAAACTTATAAAGCTGCAAAAACCTCGAAGAAATTAAACAAATTAAAACAATCAGGGTCTTGGGAGAGAATGTCCAGGTCAGAATCTGGAAAAATGAAAAATCTCGAGAAAATCAAAAAAACAAGGCCTTGAGAGAGATGGTCATTGGGTCTTGGTATTTTGTTCTAGGACCTTAATTTGTTTGATTTTTTGATTTTTTGATTTTTTGATTTCTTCGAGGTTTATTCACTTTCCGAGATTCTGACCTGGGCATTCTCTCCCAGGATCCTGATTGTTTTGATTTGTGTTTTTGATTTTTTTGATTTTTTCGGGTTTTCTTAATATGTTTATCCTGTGTAGCCAAAAGGCAGATGCAAAATGAAGTTGGGAAATCAGAAGCCCGAGACCTTGCAGATTCTGGGATGTCTTACCAGAGATAAAACACAGAAAATGGTCGATTGTTTTGGGGGGGTACCATATATATATATATAATTGCGAGTTAATTTATAAAATTCGGAATAGGATTCGGAATCCATATATAATTTTGGTTTTTGTTTTAGATGTTTTTTATTTCGTTTTAGATTTTGTTTATGTATGTTTATGATTAATTTAGAATATTGATTTAAATAATTAGGTAATTTGATAGGATATTGATGTTTTTTCTTTTGTTAAATATTATATATTTAGAACAGATGGGAAATATATATATATATATATTGTTTCGCGATCGTTATATCGCCGAATTTTGTATAATTTAAGCATTGTGGCGTAAGATTATCATATTTTTGGTTATTATATTTATTTATTTATTAATTTTATATTAAATGAATATTTGCTTGAGGATGTCATATATGTTCTATTTGTTATATTGATTTTTGTGTATATTTGCATTTATTTGTTTATTTCGATTATTATGATTGTGTTTGTGTAGATTTGTTTTGGTTTTCGTTTTATTTGTTTTGTATATATATTTTGTGTTTATGAAATAATTTCATATTATATATTGGTCGGGTTAAAATTTTCGAATTCTCTAATTATAATGATATTGATTGTATTTTATAAATAATTTTAATATATATCATTTAATAAATTGAAGATATGTATATAATTTGAAATTGAAAAAACAATATATCTTTTAATATGTTTAAATATATTCTTGATCTAAATATGGGTTCCGTTTAGAAAAATGGTTATGCGGATTTCTAAATTATTATGTAAAATTATTTGATATTAGTATATATATTTTGTAAATTTGATTATATAAGATTTATAATATATTTAATTTCTGTAATTTATTTATAATTATATTTTTAACATCCTATATATGATATTGATTATATGGCTATATATATTTTTTTTTAATTCAAGTTATTGAATAATATATGGATTATATATGGTTTAATATAATTACCGGCTAGTAAAAATAATTGTACAAAAACATATTCCAAATACGGATTCCGTCTAGAAAATTGTTATACGATGTTCCAAATTGTTATAAACAATAAGCGATATTCTAATAAATATTGTAAAATTTATTATTCTTTCTTTATTTCATGATATAAAGAAATAGAAATAATATAAAACACATATATAAATTATATATATATTAAAAATAAATAAATTATGGAATAATTATATATAAAATAATAAGAATTTATAAAAACATATTCGACATATTTAAGGAATATTATAATTTTGAATATTTCTAGAATTAGATTTAGAATTTAATATTTTATTTGCCTCTTAGCACGTCTTAGCTTGATTTATCTAAGTCTTGTGTTTTTCTCATTTATATTATTTATTATTTAACAATTTAATTCATTTTGTTTATTTGATTAATTTTGATTATCCTAGAGTTTCTCCATCATCAGATGCATTGGCCAGTCGGACAGGCGAAATGGGAAATATGAAGAAGAATTCTATTTAGATTGGATTTTGTTTCAGCACCTGATTTCCGGACCACCCAAAACACTTCTTGCGAACCTACACGTTCAAGAGACTGCAAGATTGCTTGCCCAAGCCACAGATGCGTCGCATATATTTCATGCCGAAAATTAATCAGACCAAAATATGCTTCCTGACAGCCCGTCCCAGCCCCATAGAAATTTATGAAAAAATGAAGAAAACACGATATACGCCATATTTGCCGCATTTGACCAAGAAAATTCGTCCACTCGATCGTAGGGGATCGTTTCCGTGGTTTAATTTGGGTCGTTTGAGATATATATAAGTATTTGGGTTGTTTTTGATTATTTAATTTATTTAAAATTATTTGGACTATCTAGAATATTTAAAATAATTAAACTATTTGGAATTAATTAGGTTATTCGGAAAATATTATATTGATTTCCGTATTGTATATTCAATTATAGATTATTAATATAATTCAATCAATTTAAATAAACAGAATTAATATTCTTTTAATTAATTTAATTATCCTTAATTAATTTAATTAATCGAAAATAATTAATATTTATAAAATATATTATTTTATATATTCATAATATTCATCTAAAAGAAATATATATATATAAAATTAAGTATTATTTTCAATTTATATAAACAAAATAAATATAATAATATTATATATTAAAATCAATATTTATTATTTTTTTATAAACCAAAATTCATTCTTCAATAAATATTATTAAAAATAATAATCAAAATAATAAATTTTAATTTAGAAATATATTTATTTATTTTATATTTATATTATTTAAATGTTTCAATATATTAATTAATTATATTAGATTATATTGAAATTATTATATTAGTAATAATATAATAATCCAACTAGTATAATTAATATTCAATATATATATTATTCAATATTTGAAAATATAAATTAAAAATTAACCATAAATATATTAAATCAATCATAAACAAATCACTCGAGAAATTTCAAAACCACAAAAAAACAAAACATTACAAAAACAAAATGAATATATCAAATCAATCATGAAGTTAAAATATATTCATAAATTTCTATAAAAAAATATACCTATGAAATATATAAATATATATTATTCAATTCGACAAATTAAAATTATATAATATCCTATTAATTATCATTATTTATTATTTTTTATAAAAAATATATCATTTTTTATATTTAATTATAAAACATATTAACCAAACAATATATCTTTAATTAAATCATTCATTTAAACATATTTTAATCAATTAATAAACAAATTAGATTATATATATTATTAATTAATTTAATATATAATAAATAAATAATACTCAATTATTCATTAATTATTTTATTCAAATAATAATTAAATAATCATATTACAAAATAACATAATATATACCAAAACATGTCATAAAAATAATTTAACATTTATTTTGTTAATTCAATCTATAAATACATGTTTACCTTGTAATCTATCAATTATTATAATCCAATATCAATTATATATCATTTAAAATAAAAATCCAATCAATGTAATATCATTGTATATGTATGCATATTTTTTGTATTAGTTTTCCTGGTTGTCGAATCTCGGAAAAGACATCCGTATGTATAGCAATCTTCTGTTCATCTTGAGTGTGTTGTCACAGCGAATCAGCGAATCTTCTCCTAGCTTCCAAGAGCAACCTAGCGAGCAAAGACAAATCCTAATCAACACCCACGAGAAAATCAGAGACTGCTCCTGGTTGACCAATGCAAAACATATCAGCAGTGTTGTTTAAAAAACGACATAGATTACCCTGCAAATCGATCGGTTGGTGAATGCTCACAAAGGAGAACCCCCCAAAAGGAACGCGGGCTGAGCTGAACCGCTCACAGGTTGCCCCAAAAGCTGGGAGAAGCTTTGCCTCCTCGCGACTCGCGGTCTTGCTTGGGTCTCGTTTTCGCTGGTTGACTTATGTCTGCACCAAGGGAGTTCGTGCCGAGCCCATGCTTCAAGCTCCATGCCTTTCGGCTTATAAGGTTGGGGGTCAACAAAAAGAGGGTCATGCATACAACTCCATTTGACCTAAGAGCTAGGAACTGGTTGGTGTTCTTCTGGTTGGGTCTTCATTTTCAAAGGAGAATATGGAGGCTCTCGGTTGGTTTCACCCTGTGGTAAGGATGCTCTTCCACTCACGGGGCTCGTTTTCAGGGTACAGGAGCTGAGTTCTTTTAGCCGGCCGGCTGATGCACAAACTGGGACCTGATAAACCAGGCTTCACGCATCCTTTCCCACTGGGAGGTGCAAGGGTTGCCTCAAGTCTGTCTTTTTAAGAAACCCACTTTTGTTTCGTTTTAAAGGGAAACCGAACACAGAAAACATTTTTTGTTGGGATTCCCCTAACATGAGAACTCCCCACTTGGTCCGACCGCGAGGCTCGACACGCCCGTCGCTTGGCGACGGCTCGTGAAAAATCCCATTGAAGATGAGCACTTCCCGAAGGTGGCGAGTAGCCTTCTAAGGTTGGCAAGGTTGAACCAAAAGGAAAACTGAAATCATTTCTGGCGTATATTGACATGTCATGTTTTATGCCCATGTTGCACTCCACAAGTATGTTAAGTATGGAAATCAATTGGCAACCCCTGGAACAGCAATTCCCATGTTGCACTCCCCAAGTATGTTGAGTATGGAAATTTCAATTGGCAACCCCTGGAACAGCAATTTCTGAGTGTTTCCCACTGTGCAATTCGGTGTCCAGGTGCCAAAGAAACTCATGTCTCCCTTTCTCCAACACGCGGAGCTCACTCACTCACCAGCAACCCGTTTAAACATCACCTCACAACTGCACTTGGCCTGTCCAGGATGCTTCTAAAAATGGGAAGTTCCATAAGCAAACAACCATAATGAAAAGGCATCCAAGCCTGACCTTCGCACCGGGCTCCCAATTTCAGGGGGGGCGGGCCTTTCAGGTCGCCCCCGCGCGATGTCATTAACAGCCCACAGCAATCTGACCACGTTGCCATCTGTTCAAGACTGGCTAGTGGGCACAAATGCGCGATGTCCATCAAAGGGTCAAAAGTCAAGGAGTTTGGAAGACAGTCCCTCATATCCACTTCCATGATTGGAAAGAGGGTAAAGATCATACCCATTTTTTTCGCTTTACGATTGTAGCAGCGGGGTGCTTCCCATTTAAGCTTGTAGCCATTGCTCTTGACTAACCTTAAACGAGGCTCACAAAAAGGTGCACCGCTGGAATGCCCCAAATCACGAGTATACAGTTAGCCCATTTTGCCGGCTTTCCCCAATCTGGGTTCTAGCAAAAAGGCACCCAAAGGACCTGGAAATGAAAGGTTAACCTTGTGCAGTCAACAAAATACGAATGGACTGGGAACTTTCAATTTGCCTGGGAGCAGGCCAACTCTCCAGGGCTTTCTGTAGCAAACCGGCACAGGTTTCCAGTGTTTCAGCCATAACGGTGGATGAAGCGCATCACTGGGGCTCAAAGGTCTTCATGACTGGCTTCATACGTTTCTCCACTGGAGTCATAGCCCTAGAGAATGTCAAACCTAAGAACTCAAATAGGTGGAATGGTGCAACGTGGTCATCGCCAGAAGGCTATGCGGGCACAGCTGTGCCATTCACATGCTTAGCCTTGGCTTCTTCCAACTCTTTGCTGGAAATGACTCCGTCCCCGTCTTGATCAGCCATCTGCATGATTTGCTCTTTCGCTTCTTCCGCCTCCTTGCCATCAACCTTCATGTCAGTCAGCGCTGCAGCTAGCTCTTCCTTGGTCACCTTGCCGTCTCCATCTGCATCCAGCTGCTCAAAGCTTTTTGTCTGCATCAGACGTGTCGCAACGCTGGCATAACACATAGACATCGTTCCCTTTGCCATTTGTGTGGTTGATGCATCTGGAGCTGCAGGAGCAACGGGGGCTGCGGGTTGCGGTTGCTCGGCTGCAGCCACATCAGCTTTGGCTTGCTGCAGCTCCTCCTTTGAGATGACACCATCCCCATCCTTGTCTGCCATTTGTATAATTTGCTCTTTGGCTGCTTCCGCCTCATTGCCCTCAACCTTCATGTCAGTCAGCGCCGCAGCTAGCTCTTCCTTGGTCACCTTGCCATCTCCATCTGCATCCAGCTGCTCAAAGCTTTTTGTCTGCATCAGACGTGTCGCAACGCTGGCATAACACATAGACATCGTTCCCTTTGCCATTTGTGTGGTTGATGCATCTGGAGCTGCAGGAGCAACGGGGTCTGCGGGTTGCGGTTGCTCGGCTGCAGCCACATCAGCTTTGGCTTGCTGCAGCTCCTCTTTTGAGATGACACCATCCCCATCTTTGTCTGCCATTTGTACAATTTGCTCTTTGGCTGCTTCTGCCTCATTGCCCTCAACCTTCATGTCAGTCAGCGCTGCAGCTAGCTCTGCTTTGGTCACCTTGCCATCTCCATCTGCATCCAGCTGCTCAAAGCTTGTTGTCTGCAGCAAACGCGTGGCAACGCTGGAATAACACATAGACATCGTTCCCTTTGCCATTTGTCTGGCTAATGCATCTGGAGCTGCTGGAGCCACGGGAGCCGCAGGTTTCTGCAGCTCCTCTTTGGAGATACCAGCCTTCAGCTCCGCAGCAACTTCATTCTTCATTTC